TAGGGTCCAAAGCACGCCGGTGACAGCGACTAAATCACTTCACTTCCATCAGTTATAGTGGATTGTTCTCCCTACTTAGATAGTTGCGTGACAAATGACGGCATCATAGTCAAGGAACGTGTTGCGTTTGCCGGACTGAAAAATCCTTGGTGCTGACAGGGTTTTCTGAAACTGAAAAGTTGTATTTACTGCGCCACTGTGTGATCAGTTCTGCTTTGCGGTTGCGAGACTCAGAATTTACTCGTAGAAGATATCGTCTAAATGTTGTCGACTGTCGATGTTTACTTAGGTTGGTGCTGGTCGGATGGAGCGGACGTGTAAGCATTTCCACGGTAAGCCGTCGCATATTAGGTAATGATTCGGTGGAGAATCCGTTGTCACGTCGAATTCAAATTAGTCGGCTTCTTTGGTTAGGACATATGTTGCGCATGTCCAGCTGTCGTCTACCGCATCGCTCCTTATTTGCGCTTGCGGCTCCAGGTTAGAGGAAATCACGTGGGGTAAACCGATGAGGTTCAAAAAATGCGCAGCCAATAAGTAGGGTAGATGTCTCCCGCCTTCCTGGTTGGAGTCCCAAAGACTGCAACTGGTTGGTTGGAGACGCAGGGATATGGTAAATAACCGCCAACAGTGGCGTCATTTCTTATCAGATCAGAATGCCTGAACAGGCGTGTGTGCACTGTTGAGTTGTGCACTCTGTGTGTTGTCCATAGAGATTGATTTTCTTTGCCTTCCTTTCCTTAGACCCAATCCCTATCCATCTTCTACTTTCTGACTTAGCGTATTTTGTGAGCTTAGCAGCGAACGGTGAAGTTCGCTTCTCTGTATCTCGTACAATGATGATGATATACTGTAATTGTACTGAAGAATTTGTCGTCATATAAACATGCTTCAGTGGTCTCCGAATTGTTTCTGATATTTGAGTTCATCGACTTAAATCAGACTGTTTCGACAGCAGCGGTTTCAAGCGCTCTTGATATGGTGGTTACGGAAAGTCAAGCCGAATCTTGCCTGAACCTAGTCCGATTCCGCAAATGTGGACATGTAAAAATGACCAATCCAGCACTGACCGATTTGTGTCTGCCACTGAGTAGAATGGGACGCCTCCATGCCTTTGTGATGATTTGGTATTCATCATGAGGAATCCATGAATTTTTAAAATTTCACACCGGTGTGTGATGAACAGCAGATGAGGCGATCGCCATAGTCACGAAGACCTGCTGTTTGGTAATGGTAACCGGCAATCTAAGCCTCGGGGATTCGATTGGTGAACCAAATAAGGCCCTGACCCGTGCACAGGTGAAGTCGACTCCCATCCGGTTGGATGAGGTAGCACGTATGCCACGCAAATGCTTTCTGTTGCATCCACGGATCACACTTAAACGCTTTAGTTGTCGATGACCGTTGAGTGAAGAAATCAAAAGAGGTCATTGTGAAATTCATCCTTCATCTAGGGAAAACTGCAGTCAGTTGGCGGGTACAAAGACTCGCCAAACACGCATTTTCGCCTGATCCCATGACTGTTGATCCACATGAAACTGTCAAGGCAGNATGACCATCATTGAAATCTTATCCAAATCAAACGCCGGCAATATCGCGAGCATTAGATACTAAATCTCCGAACAGGAGAGCTGAAGCATGAGGATAAGGACATAGTGCGGTGACTTATATGAGATCTTGTATATGCGTTCTGGACGTACAGATTGTCTGAATATTTCAAAGTTTCTATCTAGGGCCCTCTGCTAATCGACTTGACAGAGTGAGCAGACATTTCTTTTTATTACACACTTTCGTGTGACAAACAGCAGACGGGGTAAACCCCATAGTCCCAAGTACCTACTGTTCAGTGATGGGAACCGGTAGCCTAAGCCCCGGGACTTGGAGTGGCGAACCACATAAAGCCCGGATGTGTTAGGTGTGGTATTGAACCGGACGACAGCAAAGCTGCCTACCACCAAAGTTGGGCGGTGGTGGCGGGGCTCCGACCATAGTGTCCGAAGCACACCGGTGACAGCGACTAAACCACTGCGCCACCACCACCCATTGGTTGCAGCTAGGTGAAGAGGAGATATCGGTTTAATGAATCCCTACCACCACCCCACTAACCGCTCATTATCAGATAGGCTAAGTAGAATTAGCCGGGATTTCGGGCACAGAATGAGTCATAGTTTCACTCACGCATGTAAAACAGTTCCGGCAAACGATTAATGAGATCGTATAGTTGATCCGACGGGTAGGAAGGCGGTTTACATTCGAGTGCATTGCTGTTAAATCTCTATTTGATGTCTAAATGCTAGAGGTGTACAATGAAACAAAACGTCGACTGTGATGGTGAAGAAATCACTCACACCAAATTTCTATGGCATTTCATGAAGTGTTCTTAAAGTTGGCTTATCGCCTCGCAGGAGATGACTGAAGTAAGGTGCCTGATAGACACCTTTTCTATTATACCTTTTCGTGATGAACAGTCACAGGGTACTGCTTTTCATTCATGGAAACCGGGAATCTAACCGTTGGTACCTGGAATATCGAACCGCATAAGAGCCCATTAGGTTAGGCGTGATATTGAACCGGACAACCTGAAAGATACCCGCCACCAAAGTGGGGTCGCTGTTCCGGGGTTCCAAAATCTTGCCCTAGGTCCCAAAGTAAGCTGGTGACAGTAACTTAAAACCACTTGGCTACCATCACCCAAGCACCATATGCAGGCTGCCAGTGGAGCGAGTTACTAGACAGATTAGAAAGATTTTCATATAAATGCCGCCTACTTCCAGAGGCATTCCAATTTAGGGAAGCCCTCAACGACCGGGGTTTTCTAAATTTCACTAGAATCATTGTTTCAACAATTGAACCTATCCGACACGGGGACGTGATCAACGCACTTCCATGAGTGCTTCTGTAGGCATATCACGTGAGGTCTTCACCTTGTGGTTTTGTTCTGATTACCGCTGCGCTGATTAGCTATCCGTCTTAGTAGGAATGCAAACTAAACAGATCAGCACGAAGTAAGTCAGATGCAATTTTTTACTCTGTAATTTTTCGTCCAGTTCGTTTATGTTCTGTTAGTCTTGTTATGAATTTCGTTTATATTCTTTTTTCAAATTGCACTGAGTCTTCTTGGTTCGATTTCAGACAGCTAAAATGCCCCCGATCCCGGAAGACACTGCTAATTGGTTAAAGAACACCATAAACTCGTCCGCTGTCCTTGTATTCGCAAAATCCAGGTGCCCATATTGTCATGCGGTAAGCTAGACAGTTATCATTTTATGCTTTCCGAAAGGTGAAACAAATCTTCAATGAGGACAAAATAAAACATGCCGTTATTGAGTTGGACAAACGACGTAAGTTGTTGTCTACTGTAAAATTATCTTCCTGATGTTTGACAGCCGACGGTCCGAAAATCCAAAAGCTCTTACAAGACATATCGGGCATCTCCACTGTCCCGCAGGTGTTTGTTCGTGGCAAATTCGTCGGTATGTCAATCCCGTGTTGTTCACTTGTTCTTGCCAAATAAATTCCAGGCGATTCCTCCAAAATTTCGAATTACAAAAAGGAATCCAAACTCATGGAGATAATCACCAAAAATGATTTCGATTATGATCTGGCGGTGATCGGTGGAGGATCTGGTGGTTTGGCTGCCTCAAAAGTGAGTCCGTTCAGACACCCGTTTTTCCATTGCATCTGACAGTTGTTTGTCACGAATCTGCTGAACATAAATGTTTACGCCTTCTGTTTCAGGAGGCCGCAAAGCTTGGCGCCAAGACAGTTGTGTTTGATTTTGTCGTTCCAACTCCTCAGGATACCACGTGGGGATTAGGTGGTACATGCGTGAATGTCGGCTGCATTCCGAAGAAGCTAATGCATCAGGCCTCTTTGCTGCGTAAGTTTTTGTTCCCGACTTGGTTGGTGCAAACAGTCAGCGTCTATGTTGTTTAGCAGTTATACAAATTCACTCGTGGCTTCAACAGTAGTTACCACTATTTGACAAGTTTAAGTCATAGCTATTTTTTCAGTCGATGCGTTCGACATACTCTTCCACACCGGTAGTATATCATGAGTAGTCTGCCTCAGGGCAAAACCTATTTTGATTTGTTTTGCTGGGACTTGAAGGCACAGCAAAGAACTAAACAGTCGTGCCCCTGTTCTCGGGTACGAGCCATGTCTTTCAGGGTTTCCAACCAGAAATGTTTGGAACTGGTTACCCTATTTCAAACGCCTACACGTGATCGAGCTCCTGTTAGCTTCTTCATTTCATTTCGCTGTCCTAGGTTAACCACTACTAGCTTTCCCAGTGTGTTTGGTGCGTGTGAACGTCGTCAAGCGGTAACCACTGGGCAACCGTTCTCAACACATGTCCGAACCATCGTAAACCATTTAGTGTAATGGTTTTAATGGACGGACTTTTAGGTTCCTACCCTCTCTGGCGTACATGATCATTGCTCACAGGTTTTCATCACCAAACGCGGACAATAACAACCCAATTGTAAAGCCCTTCAATTCTTCGTTTCTTCCTGTATGATCTGTTGGAATTTTAGTGAAAAAAACGAAAACTATTGGGTTACTGCGTCAAGTAAAAGAGCAAATGACAGAACAGTAGTAGATTTTGTGTTCCTTTTTTGAATCTATGGTTTTTAATACACACAAAGGAAGAATAAGA